ATATGGCTCATAGACATGTCAGAATTTGCTTAATAAAGAAACAAATTATGTTAATTTGTAAAATTTATCACACAGAAGCAGGATACTCATCAAGCAAATCCAAATCATATAACTTTGAAGGGAACTTGTTATAGTTTGAATGGAACTTGCATTACTTGATAGTAAGAAATACCGCCGCTAGTCAGCAAAGTGTTCCAATAAAATCCGATAACTTTTCAGGAACAGTTCTGTTATATGCGGGAAGATTTACCGCGTCAGTTGTTACGTCTACGTAAATTGCGACAGCAACTGTTGGAGCTAAAAGCAAATATTGTGAATGCTTCGAAGCGTTCTCATTCCGACCAGCAACGTCTCTGGGCATCCCTGCATAAGGCTTGTGAAGTCTTCTTCAACTCAATGGATAGAATGAAATAGAAAGATTCAAGTTTAATATCCCATGTGAAATATGCTAGTGCGCATGGTGAGGATTGGGAGATAGTTTTTGGAATATGGTTTATAAACAGTGAGAATATGTAGAAATATTTATCTATGTTTCATCCCTTAGCTGTAAACACAGACAACTGAGGGAGTGGTTAAGGGTGGGAATCATCAGTACAGCCCCCGAACTACCATATAAAGTAGCAAGTGTGCCCAAATGAAAAGACAGAAGGAAGTGGGGAGAAAGAAGGGAAAGAACGCCATAAAAAATCAACTTTAACTGTCTCTTCATCTCAAAATTTAAATATTTAAGAGCTTTTTGTATGGACATATATAACTGAACATATGCATTTCAGAAAGCGCCTGATGTTTTCGATGAGTTACAGCTCATTGCGGGGCAGCTAAATGAACTGAACCATCTGAAAGCAGTGCACTCGCTGGCCGCTACAGGTGCCAATATTAATAAAGCCATAACTGCATCAGACTTCTCCGCTCTTTATAATTATATACAGACACTCACGCGGAGCACTGACACGAATTTGGCATGTCATTCACTTTTTTTTTAAATTGTTTTCTTGTCTAAATTCACTGATCTGTTAGAACTGGACCACTTTATATTGGTTCGAAAAAAACCTAGATGGACGAAAGATATTCCAGCAAAAAAAACTTGCAGCTATTGTTTTCCGGCTAGTTTTCGAATTGGCACGGTGCCAAGTGTGAGGTTTGACATGAGTTTGAGCATAACGCAAGCGAGCTAAATTTGAAATCTCTAACTTCCACATGATCAGAGAGCATTCTTTTACAGTTCTAGCTTCCTATGTTTACTGGTCCCAAAATTGCTCCGCGCTAAAAAAATTTGCTTTTTTTTGCATCTAAATGTCAGATCTATGCACGCATGAGCGTTGATTTTAAAACGAGAGATGGTACATAGGGTGGGAATATGCTCCTGCAATTTCAGCCTTCCAGCTTTCCTAGTTGCTGAGTTAAAACTGGCTAGCAAAGTTCACTCACCTCTGAACATGTAAGCGGACAATTCTCGATAACATGCTTTGTCGGAGTTGCGTAAGATGCAAAATCACATTAAAAGATTTGTGTAACTGCAGGAAAAAGGCGAAATGAATATTTTTCAGATATTAAAATGAGCAACTGCCGTATGCGTAAAAGAGAAAACATATCACAGTTACAGAGAAAAAGAAGTTAGGCGAGATTAATCAGACTAGATTTTCATGTAAAGTTTCAGGATAATCGAAAAGAAACTGCTGGAAGAAGGAAGGCGTTGATTGATGATACGCACCAGCGTGTTTCAAATGCTTTACGGGACCTGTTCGCT